GTGTCAGAAGAAAACTCCGAACAAGTAATGTGATGCATTTTAAAAAGAAAGATTTTTCGTGGATACTAATTTATTTTACAGATTTATTTAAAATACATCATTTATTAAAGAACTGTTTCATTTAAAACATGGCAGACACATGTATTAGGTCAGGATTTTCTTTCATAAAATTTCTTTAAAAATAGGGTACTGGAAACCGAAGGAAATCCTCGGTGTAGACTTTCGAGTGTTTGCAGCTTGAAATGACTGAAGGTTGTCTGTGTTTGTCGCGGTGTTTTGCTTGTAAAACAGTGCCTCATGACTGACTTTTTCGGTGCAAATAGAACGAGGATTTCCCCCCTCCCCCTTAAAAGCAGTTCATGACCGAGTTTGTATATGAAAATAAAAATTCAACTGTCTTTCTCTCTTGAATTGAAGTCTCATGCATTTATACCGACCTATGAATAATGCATCATTTCATACGAATTAAACAATTCCTTGCAGCAAAAGTTTGAGCGAGAAATTCATTCCACGCAACTTTGGTAGCTCGATAAATAATGGATATTTCGTTGTGTTCTTTCAAACATATTTTGATTTTTACGTGAATTTCAGTTTATGTACGTATCAGCTGAAGCATTTGAGACCCCCACTTGTCTTATTTCCAGCGAAGTAACGTTGCCCGCCACACACACACACACACACACACTTTAAGAATTCAGGGGATCAGACTGAAGAATTGTTTTGGGAACCCCTGGGCTCCTGCCTGGCGGTTTGATCCCTGGGCCCTGGCTCTGTGTCCCGTGCTTGGACATCCCTGTGCTTCTAATATTCCGGTTTCAACAATACAAACCGAGGGAATTGTTGGAGCACATTGACTAATGCATTTGTAAGTCCCTTGGTTACTCTGCTGATGTGTCGTGCCCTGCAGAGAGTACACATTTTCAATCTTGTTATGGAAATAATTGTTTCTCACAAGAACTTGCGTCTAAGATGTTCGCCCTCCGCGATATTTTACGTTATAGAACGTTCTGGTAATTATAAGCACGTTACAGAGCTTTCGCTTGTAAAAAAATAGCATAATGGTTGAGTGTGCTTCAGTTCCATCTGCGTTTCCTTTATACATTTTATGTATTCTTTGAAATTTCCTTTCTTGGTTGAGGTAACTTTATTGAAGAATCTTTTCTGCCCATGAAGTTATTAAAGTTTTAATTTCCTATTTATCCTACCTTCTGCTTTCTTTCTTTTTTAACTTAATCATGCTATACAAAACAAACAAAAAATTTACACTTATTGAATTTTAAAAAAACGTGTAACACACAGTTGCAACTAGGCTTTAACAGTTAAATTATACATCGTAGTAAAGTACAGTCTGATAGCACATCAAGATGTTTAATGAACCAGAAGTTTCGGAGCCAACGGCGAACCTTCTGGTCTCACGATCGACGTGCGAGTTAGCATGGCGACAGCATTTCCTCTGAAATGTCGAACAAAAATCGTGGATAGCCTACATCGTGATCATTACGTAAAGACCTTAAATTAACTGACATAACCCAAAACAGAAGCAGAAGTAAGAGAGCGTGTTCTTAATACACCGTTTCTTTGACCTTCCTCAACTGTCTTCCATTCATGGAGCATACCCCTTCTTAAAACAAGCAAGCCTATCATGTTCATTGTTCTTTAAAGCTTTATGCTTTATGCGAGTTTCAGGTAGGAATAAATTCCATCATCCGGCGAGCCTTGTGATGATGCGAGGACGTACTCTCGTGTAGTGACGTAAGACAACGTCTCAGCTACAAAGCAATTACGATCTGCATAAATGTAAATTATCTGTAAACTTATCCCCGCAATTAAACCGACAATCCATCCTACGAACCATTTGCTTAAGAACACAGATTCCTTCTGTCATGTGATCCTGAGCAAAGATACGTAGTTACTCGCACATCGCAGAGTTGCTCTCTGAACTGATGACACGTGATCTATCATTCATAAACCACACAATAGAACAACATAGAAACGTCCATTTAGATTTCGGTCTCCTGTGTAATGGTACGCCGCTTGGCATTGCAGGTGGCTCCCGACGTTTCGGAGATACGTATTCTTCCCGTGCTCAGTACCTATTTATTTTGCATTCTGAAAGGGTCAAGCTTACACGTTTGCTACAAACACGCGAACGGTCCAGTACAAAGTTTAATTCCTACAGTCTCTCGTGGAAAATATCAATTTACCAGACCTGGGCATTGATGGAAGGATAACATTAAGATATATTTTAATGGACTGTGGCATGAAAGTGTGAACCGGATTCGTCTGGCTCGAAATTGATTCGAGTAATTGGGTTTTCTGAACGTCGCAATGAACGATGGGTTTCAATACAAAATCTCCAATTTCTTCTTCGCTGTCTCACGAAGGACGGTACTCTGTAGACTCAGTTTATTCACGTCGGAATGTTCAGCCGAGTGTCTCGTAAATTAATTTATTTTGTTCTGAACGAACGGAACTTACAGATTTAGAATCTCCCTCATATCGAAGTTAACACATTTTTAAATCCGAATGAAGTTAAATAACTTCGTCTGTCTTGATGATGATGATGATGATGATGATTAGATGGTGCATATAGCGTTTTTGACGGGGACTGTGAAAGGTACCAGAGCATGCTCGTCTTGTGCCACTCATGCTCTTACGGGTATCCCAGGTGACAGATGTCCGCTAATTAGCTAGCTCCGTCTTCTGTCTCCGTCCTCCGTCCTCCGGTTCTGCAGACCCGAATCACCACTCGCCACTCAGACCATCTATAAACATCATTAGACTCCAGAGACGTAGCACAAAAACGCTGCCTCGTCTGAATGAACTTTTGTTGTACATAAATTTACGGGAGGGGGAACTAACTCAATGTTTGTTTTCGCAGGTAGCCGCCTTTCTCACCGGGTGCAATTAAAATGCATTGAACTTTGTCGTCTCGGTCTGCTCGTGGGTTCAAAGCCCGTTGTGGGGAACTGCTGCCATTTAGTAATTATAATGCAATGCAGATTGAAGTGTGGTGATTACGGATGTCCACTGTAAGGCTCCTGTTGGCCGAATTGCTTTTGTTACTTTCTGCATCTAAGTTCTGAACTTGAGTCAAGTATTAGGGGGTTAAAGACCATTTGTAAGTAAGGGTTTTGGATGCAGAAAATTCATTACTTAAAAATTGAGGTAACTTATCGAATTGTATGTCTCTTATACATTGCAGCAGGTAGAAAATTTCTTGTCTGTTACGTAGATACATTGATGTAAACCTGAGAAGTTTAAAGGGCAAATTAAATTTTGTGTAGGCATTGCAACTGAATCAGTTCAATCCAATGCAGAACCTCACATCTTACATTTCAAAATGAATTTAAAACACGGATTAAATTACGTGTTTAACAATCCCATGCAACATACTGACACCAGCTTTGCCTGAATTTCAATTTTACGTCATCGGGCGGGAAACAGGGCTGAATGCGATTGTAAAAAGTGGTTTACTATGCTCAAAGTAGTGCTTAGCCCCCCGCGGTGAGGGAAGTGGTAATCATCGCACTGCCGGCGATCGACGTCTGTCCCTACCCCCGAACATCTTCTCCCAGAGCACGACTTTGTCTCAGTTTCCTTCCTTTTCCGTCATAACAAACGTCGTCTCGTGCGGAACCTCGCAGCCTCTTTGTTCGTCCTGCTACAAGAAGCAGAGCACAATGGCGGCTCTCTGAACAATCGCCACCCCCCCTGCCGCCCCCGCCCCCAACTTTTGCTTCTGTTGGCATTTCTTTACAGAGAATAAAAAATTGTAGCCGCGGAGTTGGGTCCCCGACCGATAAGAATGTCTTTGGAGTGCGTCTGTACTGAAAGAACGTGCCTTCTGACGCTAAGGTTTTCGTAATATCTGTTACTGCCCCTTTGGTTCGAGGTGTGGGCCGCGTGATATCTGGGATGGAGATAGCCAATGTCTTTGAGTGGAGTAGTAGCACGCTCTGTGCCCTCGTTGATAGGAGGAAAGCAGACAGATGCAAAGTAGTGGTCTGTATCGATATTTTTGCCGCCTCTGTATTTTATCTGTTTTGTTGTTGTTCTAACCGAAGCACAAAGTTATGCAGAAATATGCAGCTCAGTAAAGTTGATTTGAATGTAGGAAATTGACCTCATCTCGGCCCAGGAAGCCGGGAAAATGCAGTGATCCGTAGCCGAACTTGCCAGTACATTGTGGTCGTATCCAGCGGGATACGGAATTGTAATACTTCAAAGTTGCGTTTGTTTTCCACTGATTACTCCGAAAGAAGAACATAAATTTCAGCATTTAAGTGTAATTACATAATACTGAGTACCGAATTGCAGATATATACCTGATTTGAACTGTTTTGTGTGTGTACGCACTGTTATGTTTCCGTTAAGATAATTCGAACGCATTTGCAGTTACATGATCCATCCCGACGGACTGATATGGTCATTCAGGAACATGACGTACGCCTGTTGCGTGATGTATGGCATTTGTGGAGGGTTTTGAAGATGAAATTATCGCCGTCAAGCGGTCGATGTGCGTTTCATAGGCAGGGATTTCCGACCTGCCTCATGCAGTTTTGCCAGATGTGTGCAGAATCCGTTGTTTTAGGAGCAATTGCGATTTGGAACAAATCTGTCCCTGAAGCTGGAAAAGGATACGCATACACACTCCAGGTTTAAACCCGAGCGCCGTGAAAGACGGCAATTTCATCGACACGCTGGTTGTGCGGGCAAACTGAGTGTCTCGGCTGACTGTAGGAGAAATGTCTGACAACTCTGATCTTGAGGACGGTTGTTAAAACAAAGTAGCTAGTTAAACACAAGGAACAGAACCACTTAGAGCATCAGCCCATTGCGGTAGCTGTGCTGTTTGGCGCCCAGAGAATGAGCGTCATCATTCTACAGGTAAATGTTTCGAAGAACGGACATTTCCAGCATCCGGGTGTTTAATAAGCAAAGAAACAGGCCCCGTGTGGTATTTCTGTCTAATAACTTGTACCACTTTACTTTTGCAGGAGGCAGCCATGGTTCTTGACGCTAGGGAAACTCTGGCGTTGGATTCAGCCCGCAGAAGGTAAGTGAATTCATTCACTTCCACTTTTGTAACTACGATTTCCCGTAAGTAATAGTCGAATTGTTCTAAGGACGTTCGAATCAGATTTGCAGTAGCTGTTAGGTTAGGGCGGCGTCTGAATCCTTGTCTCGTAGGAAG